CCACAGTGACCTTGACCTTTGACCACCAAAATCTAATGGGTTCATCTCTAAGTCCATGTGGACGTTTGCACCTCATTTGAGGAAAATCTCTCAGGGCCCTCTTGAGACATCATGTTCAATAAATAGTATGTACGTACAGACAGCCTGCAGACATAATGCCTGTGACCATGGCTATCGCCAGCGTGAAGGGCATAGAAACCTCAACATACCGTTTTGTAAAGCCTTACAGCAAACAAATACCTGAAGAGAAAGTTCACACGGTGCAGCTTCAAATTCACAATCACGTTGTAAGAAAAAAAAAAAGGTGTTTATTTTTATTTCTAAAGACGAGTTGTTTTATTTAAATAAAATCAAACGTCTTATTTCTTGCGTGTACTGAAATCCTGTGTCAAGGATCTGTGTAACTGATTTCATAATGGAAAACTAAAATGCATCAGTAGCATTTTAGTTTACCTGTGGTGCAACAGAAGAATCAGTTCTGCTAGTCTGACACACACACACACACACACACACACACACACACACACACACACACACACACACACACGTTGGCAGTTGCCTTTCTAGGGAAACGTTAATTAACTGGAATGAAGTGGCTGTCTTCTACATTTAAAACCTTAATCACCTCTTTGTGTGTGTGTGTGTGTGTGTGTGTGTGTGTGTGTGTATTTCCTAGAAGTCTAGAACCAAGCAGTTTTTTCCTGTGGGCCAACCGTCAACATAAACTCACTCACACACACACACACACACACACACACCACATCCTCTTCTGTGTGGTGGAGGGTTGAATTTCCCACCTATTAACACATCACACACTCCATCAGATTAAGTAATTCCATCACTGACCCGTGACCTCTGACCCCTGCAGCATGTCCACAGATGTGTACTCTGAACAGCTACTGTAAAAATGTTGAATAAAGAAAATGTAAAGCAGAGTTATTGTGGTTTTAGCAGCAGTTAGTTTTTAACTGTCCTGCAGCTGCATGATGCAGCAACTGAACGCAGCTTCACTACAGTCTGACCTCACAGTGAATTAGACACAGTTTTCTACTGTTAACTCAACCAGCTGAGTCACTGACGGTGCATTTGAATCTCATGTTGCTTCAGTATACTTGAGTCTTTCAGTTTTCAGGTGTTAGGTGTTCAACTTTTATGCCACAAGAGAGCAGAGCACTGGGTGGAAGTTAAACAGTTAATCCTGATACAACATTTAATTCTGTTTCACTTGACTCAGGTCAGTGGCATTCATGTGGATGCTATGGCAACAACACTCTCTGATGGCAGTGGAAAAATGCACCATGCCACACCACAAACACTGCTCAGGAATGACCTGACGAACATGACAAAAAGCTCAAGGTGTTGTCCTGGCCTCTGAATCTCCCACACCCCAATCTGACTGAGCATCTTGGGACGACCAACCCCACCTCACAACTGACAGGTCTCAAAGGATCTGAAGCCAGCACCAGTCATGTGTCAGACACAAGTCAGATCCAGAGAGGCCCCACTGTAGATTAGGGGTACCTCTGAGGTACCAGCATGTCCCATGGATGCTTGATCAGATTTGGATCTGGGGAATTCGGAGGCCAGGTTGATGCCTTTTGCTTTTGTCATGTTCCTCGGACCACTCCTGAGCAGTCTGCAGTGTAGCATGGTGCATTGTCCTGCTGGGGGGCCACTGACATCAGGGAGTCCTGCAGCCATGAGGAGAGATACCTGATCTGCAGAGGTGTTCAGGTGGGTCGAGCGCATCAAGTAGCATCCTCATGAATTTCTGGACCAAAAGAACCCCAGGGGAGCATTGCATTGTAACAAGATGATCAATGTTCCGCTCCCCGCCCGCACACACAGAGCTAACTGTTAGCATCACATGGCTATAGTTAGCTAACGATTATTAGCGGGTTTAACGACAGATTCAGGCTGTTTCACTGTTGGTGTTAGTTTGTTGGGACCATTGACAGTGTTTGGTTCCTTACTCTAAAAATGTAACACATTACTCATTGCTCTTTTCAAAAGTACTTAGATTACTTTACTCATTACTCCCTGCCAACAGATGTGTCTCTGTGTGAATGTGAGCTGTATTTTCCCAAAGATCTGCCTGACAGACGGAGAGTCACTCATGGAGCGACATTTCATCCACAAGCTTGATCACTTCTCTGTGTCTGCAGCTGTCCACCGTTCACATCCAGTTTGGGTTGTTTAGCCAGTGCAGGACTACAGCCGACCTCCGCAGCTGAGGAGGGCTCACCTTTGGTGGGGTGTATTTTCTGGAGCTTCAGGTCGTAGTCAGTTTTAGTCCGAATAAATCATTTTTCCTCCCGATAGAATCAAATTAATAAGAATATTTCCAGCTGCTGAGGTAAAAACTAGCTCGTTGCTTTGTGGCGTGCCTGCTCCTTGTGACGATTATGAAAATGAGTCTGCTGATGCTGACTTCCACATCCAACAGTTACAGATCAACATGATGATTCATGATTTGCTGGCAAGCTGCGAGCGTTTAGACACACAGAGCCGGATTGGCGAGTTGATCCAAGGTGCCCAATTTTCCTCCTCGTAGGGTAGACATATTGGTGGAACCCTTTTAGTTTAAACAGACCGAGGCGGCCTTCTGCAACGGGAGGAGCTGTTGAAGACTTGTGGGAGGAGCTGTTGATGACGCCGCACGTGCGAGCCACTGGCGGTGGATAAACAGGAAACAGCTGATAGCAGGAATTAGCGAGCAGCTAGTAGCAAGAGGGAAACACAAACCTGACAGACACTGTAAAGATGAGCAACTGGGGAGACAAGGAATTGCGCGCCCTCCTTGTCCTCGCAAACGAAGAGGCCATTAACCGTCAGATGACGGGGACGGTGAAGTACGGGCCGACTTACGAGAGAATCGCTGAAGGACTGACCAGCCGCGGCTTCCCTCCCACGTCACTGTTTACGTCACACGCTGAGCTACACGTTTTGTTACTTGCTCACGCCCCCCATTGCCCCGAAAAAGGCACATTCTGTATAAACAAAAGTAGGTAGGCGGCATTTTGCTGCACTTCCCGATTTTGTTTTTATACGGCCAATGCTGAAAAAACACTGATTGGGCTTTCCTGTAAATTTGCACAACTCCTGTCTAAAAAGGGCTGTTGTGTCACCTGATTGATGTCAGTCCAATATTCTCTCTGTTCACTCTGTTTTTGGTCTCCACCAGCTCCTGAGGGAAACATCTGTCTCTTTAGCTGCTAAATGTTCCACTATGTTCCAGCTGGTATCAAACTGTAGCCCAATTTACACCATCTGTTTAAGTCAGAAATGATGCGCTGTTACTCCGCCTCACTGTTCTATATAAAAGGTACGATCAAGGAATGGGAGGTCAGAGTTGTGTCACCTTGAAGCCTGGAGCAAAGGTAGTGACACAGTCAAATCAACATCTTTGTAAAGCTTAGTTCAGACCAAAGATTGATGATGAGATGAAACTGTTTTAGAACTTTTTTTTTTTACCTTTATTTAACCAGGTAAAGCTTATTGAGATATAGAATCTCTTTTTCAAAAGCGACCTGGCCAAGAGGCAGCAGAATTTTATAGGCCTAGTACAAACAGTAATAAAAAGAAATAACAATCGTAGAATAAATAAAAATAAAATTATCAGGGATAGATTAAAAGATGTGTAACATCTGATTTAAAAACAGTGACAAAGCCCAATGCTTTTGAGTTCCTTAGTTTTAAGAATTTTAACAAAGCTCTCCAGAGGGATCAGAGACAAGTGTCAGAGGTGTGAACTGGACGGTCTGAGCTTGACTCAAGCCGGCTGATGGGGTCACCTGACACTCTTGCTGGTCAAATGGCCGGCGGCTGGTTTAAAAGCATGTCAACAGGCATGCTGTCTAAAATCTCACACTGGGGCAACATGATGCCGCCGCTTCGTTGCAGCAGTAAGGCGCTTGTGTTTCTCTGCGGTTCACTGCTGAGCAGGGGGTGCACAATGACTTTATCAGAGATGAAAACTAAAACTATCAGCTCAAAGACACTGAAAACTTTACCAGTTTCTTTGCGTTTGTCAGCAGTTTCTTTTTTCCACCCTGAACAGAAATAAGATGAGCTGACTCAGCACGGAGATGGCGATGATGAAGATGATGGTGGTGGTGGCGACAATGATGATGTGTTCAGTTCAGTGTTGTGTCAGCGCGTGGGGGCGGAGATCTCGCTCTGGGTTTCAGCAGTTGTCGTGACGACGGCGATTTTCCACTGTGAACTGTTCCCTTAATTCCTCTTTAATTCTTCTATCAACTCAAACTAAGGTCTGACCTCAACCTTCAAACGGCAAACGTAAATTCAGGTTTGAATTTAGGAGACAAAAAGTCGCCTCCTCCTTTTCACTTCTTGTCATTTGTTCTCCTCCTTTATTAATTTTTCTTTCTGCCCTTTCCACTCCTCTTCCTCTCCTCTCTGGTGTTTCCTTCCTGTATCGTCCTCTTCCTTAACTTCCTCCTCTCATTTCCTTTTCCTTTCCCTGTTTCTTCTCTTCACATCCTACTTTACTGTTTTATTATCCTTACATTTTCCTTTCCTTACCAGTCCTTTCCTCGCTTCCCTTTCTTTGTTTCTTCCCCTTTCTTTCTTTCCTTTACCTTTCCGTTCCTTCCCCCATTTACTTTCGTTTCTCTCCTTTCTTTACCTTTCCTTCTCCATCACTCCTTTCTTTATCTTTTCCTTTCTTTCTTTCCCTTTCTTTGCCTCTCCTGTACCCTTTCCTTCCTTTACCTTTCCTTTCCTCTATTCCCTTCCCTTTGCTTTCCCCCTTCCCCCTCCTTTTCCTTCTCTCAACACATAAGGAAATCCAGCCTGTGTACGTCCACGTCGTTTTAAACCTTGACCAGCAGAGGGCGACATCACTCCAACATTACAGCTCTCTGATTAGGAACCAGCACCAGTCATCATCATCAGTGAGGAAGATAAAAATCTTTATTTCACTAAAAAAATCTGTTTGACAAATTCACATAAATATGGCTACAATAATTTATATAAAATATTTTCCTTCATACTGTTATTAATTCAATATATTAAAGGTTCAAGTACGTCTAACACTTCTTCAGTGAATACTCAAATACAATAAATATTTTCTGAAAAATAACTTATTCTGTAAATAGAGCTACATTAATACAAATGTTGAACATTTAAAACAGGAATCAATACTTCAAAATAAAATACGATTAAAGACCTTTTTTAGAAGCTGCTGCTCAGACAGCTTCTGCTGACGGTGATCGAGGCTCAGTGTCATTACCTACAAACAAAATACCACTTTTTTTTTTAACGTAACAGATCAAAAGATTTTAAAAAAGATTTTGGGCACTGAAACATTTAGACCTCGTGTCCTGAAACAGCTCAGTCAATACTTCCTGAGGAGAAGGTGTAACGATGGCAGCGATCCAAACTCATTTTGAAAAATCAAACTTAACAGATTTAAATAAAACTGAAAATGATGATGATGAAGGTGACAATGACAATACTGACGACGATAATTCGGCTGCTGATGATGACGAGGCTCTACAGGACGTGGTGCTGAGCCAGCTCATCGATCCACCTGAGGATGAAGGTGAACTCTCCAACGGCCTTCAGCGCTCCTTCGTCTCTCCTCCTCTGCAGAAAGTCAAACACAGGCAGCGTTATCGCACACTGATGAGGATAACGTGAAATCAAATCATATCATCACCTCAGAGCCGAGTAAGACAGGAGTGCAGTATGAACAGTAGCAGCAGCTGTGGCTGTCGTACCATCTGTAACTTTACCTTTTTAATTTTTCTCTCCAGTTTCTTGATGATTTTGAACCATTTTGAAGGTTTGGAGGAGGAAACCTGAACAGAGACAAAAACACATCAGTGAGTGTGTATGTGTGTTCTGTGTGTGTGTATTTCACAGCATGTGTGTGTTCCTCTCTCCACTCTGTGCTGATCAGCTGTCTACAGTGTTCAAAGACGTCTTTAACCGAGTCCCAGCCTGCTTCAAATCATCCACTATCATCAACCTAAAATCACAGGACTTAACGACAACAGACCCATCGCCCTGACGGCCCTTGCAGACAACACCGCCAACATGGCTGTCCATTTTATCCTCAGGAGCCTGTGCCAGATTCATGTTTGTGCTGTCAACACCATCATCCCAACTCTGCTGCACGACAAAGCTCTCCCACCTGCACCTGCCCACCTGCACAAACTTCCTGTCTGACAGGAAGCTGAAGCTGGGGAAACATGTCTCTGATTCTTGGACCACCAACAGCGGTTACCCTCAAGGCTCCGTCCTTCCCCTCTGCTCATCTCCCTGTGCACCAACAGCTGCACCTCCACTCATCTGCGCGATAAGTTCCTGAAGTTTGCAGATGACACCACCCTAACTGGACTTATCTCTGGTGGGGATGAGTCCGCATACAGGTGTGAGATTGACCATCTGGTGACCTGGTGCAGACAGAGCAACCTGGAGCTCAACACTCTGAAGACGGTGAAGATGGTTGTGGATTTCAAAAAGAACACAGCCCCACCTGCCCCCATCACCCTGTGTGACTCCCCAGTTGACGCTTTATCACCCAGGACCTTGAGTGATGGTCCAAAAAAGGCTCAGCAGAGGAAGTACTTCCTGCAGCAGCTGAAAAAGTTCAACCTGCCAAAGACAATGATGGTGCGCTTCTACTCTGCCATCATTCAGTCCATCCTTTCCTCCTCCATCATCGTCTGCTACGCTGCTGCCACTGCCGAGGACAAGGGCAGACTGCAGAGGATCATTCCCTGCGAGCGTCTGCAATCATACCATCCCTCCAGGACCTGTACACCTCCAGGACCCAGGACCTCATGACCCCTGACGCAGGCAGGACAGATGGTGGCCGATTCCTCACACCCAGGACCTCACACCACCACAGCTGATCTCATCAACAAGGCCCAGGACCCCACTGACACTGACTCTGGATGTGTGCACACAGCAGTGTGTGTCTGTGGTTGTGTACTCACACAGTGCTGCAGTGTGTGTTGGATTCGGTGCAGCAGGTCGTTGTAGTGGAGGGGGAGGAGCTTCTGGACGACCTCGTTCCTGAACACACTCCTCTGGTAGACATCAATCAGTTCCCGCATCTCCAGCCAGCCAATGGCACGCTGAGGTGGAGAGAGCATCATTACACAGAGTCATCACTACAGTTGTGTTAAATTAAAGCAGCACAGAGACTTCACTTCCACAGTAACAGACATCCAGAGGATGATTTCACTCTGACACCTCCTCTGCTTCGTCCCACAACACAGGAGAGACTGCAAACATCTAACACGTAAAGCTAAGCTAACGTAGGCTACAGAGATACATCAACATCTGCAAACACGTTCATCACTGTCTCAGTCTGACAGCTGCAGGTTGGCAGCCCCCTGATAGGCAAACTCACAGAGAATGGACTGCAGCTGCTGACAGCACCATGAATCGCACATCACTTGCAGACGCCATCATCCCTGTCTCAAGGTCCAGTTCACAAAATATATTGTTCTAATGATATTACAGCAGAAACACACCCACAAAGTTTGCGCTGCAATTTGCCCTGTTTATGGTGTCTGACTGCAGTTATCCAAAGTATAAATGTTGCCTTTGTGCCAAAAACCTCGTCGGCAGAACCACAGGGAGAGAAAAAGGAATCAGCGACCGATGAGGTGCACAGGCATCCCTCGAAACTTCAGGTGAGGAATTTAAACGTGACACAAACTGCGACAGGCCTTGCCGTACACATGCTGTGTTTTATGCACCCTGATATTTAATTTTGAAGTTTCTAACGTAGACATGTGGCAGGTGAGCGGGGCTGAAACAATTCCTAGAGCGACTCGAATGATGCGGCCACTAAAAAGCCTCGAGGCAAGACAAGAAAAGAGCGAGAGATACCCCAAAGGAAACGACATAAAGTGTAGAGCGTGGGATCATTATAAGTTCAAATAAAAAAAAAAAGTTAAGTGTGTTTTGCAAAACAGAGTTAGCATACCACAACAGCACGTCCTCAATGCTACAACATCTAAGAAGAAAGCATTCAGTGTATGATCGAGTTCACCGAGCAAATTAAAGCAATAAATATGTTGAATTTTTAAAAAGGAAACAAATGTGTTGCTCATCTCTCACTTCTGTTATTTACTTTTATATATTAGTCTTACCCTTAATAAAGCTAAAGTAATATAAAGAAAACACGCATTATTTCTTATCCGAATACTCGATTAATCACCAGAATAATCGATGGAATACTCGATTACTAGAAGAATCAATAGCTGCAGCCCGACACCAGAGTAATGCTGTCACTGCACGCATGCGTTCCCAAGCGTGTTCAACTTTTGGAACGTAGCAGCACACACTGCATGTCATGTGACGAGGACCAACCAATCACAGCCGACAGATATCTTTCCTTCTTCAGTAAGTACTAGTCCATATCCATTGGTAGCTTTGTCACCTTCTACCTATGCCAGTCCTCAATGCCTATGTGCAGTTTCACATAGATTGACCACGTCAGTGAGTAGAAAAACGTGGGACAGACAGAATGACTGACTGACAGAATGACACACTGACAGTTTCCGTGATTATGTACAGCATACCATACCATGACTTAGTCATACCAAACATTAGAAAACAACACCAACATTGGTCCACAGGGGGAGCCACAGCGATCGGTCGCATTTTAGCCATTTTGAAGCATTTTTCTGTTGTTATAGCGCCACCCAGTTGCCAATTAGAGTTAAATTTCTCCAGTCACCTTGAGGCGTCCTGTTCTACATATCTACCAAGTTTAGTACAAATCCATATGGCGGTTAGGCCTAGATAAGAAATGAGCTCTCTAGCGCCCCCATTTTGTTTGATGGGGTCAATAATGGAGGGGTCCCCTCAGATTATGTGTGGTCATATGCCTACAAAGTTGCGTGGTGATGGGTGAAACCCTTGAGATGTTATACACCTTTATGTGATGAGCCACGCCCTCCGCAATATTCATTGCCTTATAGAAGCTCAGTTTTAGTAAGTTTTCCAACTTTTGCCAAGAGGGAACTTTAGATATTGGTCCCTAGATTATGTTCACCCAGTTTCATGCAGATCGCTCAAACTTCCTAGGAAGAGATCCATTTGAAGTGTTTTTCAAAAAATTCTAAATGGCGGAAAATCTATATAAGCGGAAGTTATGGGTTCTTGAGGCAAATGTGTTCCTCATGAGGAGAGGCATCTCTGTGCAAAGTTTCATGTCTCTACCACATACGGGGCATGAGATATGCCCATTCAAAGTTTGTCATTTCAATGGGTTGCTATAGCGCCCCCCTTTGGCCAATTGATGTAATATTGCTTCATTGGCATCCTCCCATGACCCTCTACCACTGTGCCAAATTTCACATGGATTGACCAAGTCAGTGAGGAGAAAAACCTGGAACACACACACACACACAGTAGTAGATAGTAAACATCAGTGTGTGATAAATGTGGAGGAGAAATTGATCATGTTGGTTCAGAGCTGTCAGAGCGTCACATCTGTCCCACAGACAAACAGGAAGTAGATCAGCTCAGGGTTTCAGGTAAACAGGCTGTGAAAGATGGAAATGAACTTTTGGACATCAGCTCATCTTCTGCTTCACTACTCACAGTAAATTAAAGTTTGACCAGGGGCCCAAACCTTTGCAGGACACTGTACAGTCCTCTCTGACATAACCCTCTGAGTTACAGAGGATCAACAGACTGGCACAAATCAAACACCCTGTGAGGTAAAAATCAAACACTGGAACTTTGTTGAGGAAACACGACTAAATTACTTCCTTCATGAAATCCAACCTGTCTGCTGGACTGGAGGGTGCGTCAGCTGCAACGTGTCGGGAAACACCAGAGGGTCGCTGGTTTAACGTGTTAATGATTGTGGGAAGGAATTCCAGGAGTGTTGGTGCTGAGGTGCTTTCAGGTTTCAGGTTTCAGGTTATGCGCGGCTCTGTGTGTGCGTTAGCTTGGAGATGGTGAGTGTGGTTGTGGTTGAGGTAAACCAGGCGGACACCAGTATAGGTGAAGCCAAAACCTCAGCAAAGAGTTACTTCCACTTCAGGTTTACTGACCTCTGAACATTTGGTGCAGAACTTTGGCAGCAGTCGGTGTCGCCTGGAGAACTTCTCTTCTTTCTGCAGATAAAAACATCACATTTATTATTCGTCTCTTAGTGGCACTGCTTTTATATCGGGTGAACTCATGACCTTTTGGTATTCATTCAAACCGTTTTCTGCAGGTGCCAGACACGAGGAACAGAATTATAATAACCTTACACACAAAACAAGGGTCAGAACAGAACACAGTGTAAAGACGACCCAACAGGGACGCCACAACATTCAGAATAATACAATTAACGTACAGTTTCATCCATGAAATACAGAAAAGGTCAAATAAGAAAACTCATAAGGAATATTTTCACAATAATCAGGTCATGCACTTAACTGTACACATACTGGAAAAACCTTTCATTGTTTCTCTGAGGCTCTTTGGAACCTGATCCACTCACAGATCATAGACCTGCTCCTTATCCTCTGCTGATAAATACCACAAAATGGCGGCTTTATTTGGAGTGGTGATTATAAAGAAGTTAATATTACAAGTGCGGAAGACAGAAAACAAGAAGAAGAACAAGGAGAAGAAGAACAAGGAGAAGAACAAGAAGAAGAACAAGAAGACGAAGAACAAGGAGAACAGCAATAACAAGAACAAGAAGAAGAAGACGAAGAGGAAGAAGAAGAACAAGAACAAGAAGAACAAGAAGATGTTCCAAGATAAACTTCCTGATGAAATTAAACTTGTTGAGGAGGCCACGATGACTAAAACATATCTCCATCTCCATGACAACGGCGCAAACTGATGAAGACTGTGAGCCGCAGTAGAAAGCTCAAGAAAAAGCAAGTGAGTGGACGGTTTTACTTTTTGTCCTTTTTTTAATTTGAAGTATTTGATGTAGCCTGATTTTATTCCTCAAACACAATGACATGATTAACTGTGTAACGTGGAGTCAGTGGATGAGACGAGCTCCTTTTGTAAAAGTTGTGACATCACAGAGTGAAGTTTAATCCCTGCATTTATAATCTGACTGAATCTGACTTCACACACTGTGACTGACACACACACACACACACACACACACACACACACACACACACACATATATATATATATTTGTGTGTGAATGTGTGTTCGTCCTGTCGTGAAGGAAAAAGCGCTCGCTGTGATTTCAGTCACGACGTCTTTGATCTGATCAGAAACTTTGATCTCGTTTAAAAACTGCAGCTTTTCACACTTTCACTTCTTGTCTGAGGCTGAACTCCAGCGAGTCACAGAACGACTCATCAATACCAGTTATTGATCCTCGTGTGGAAATGTGTTTAAATCTGTAACAGACGGTTCAGATCAAATGCTGCAAACATTTACTGAAACATTTATTTTGAAAGAACTGATGCTGATAATTGACTCTGACCATTGATCGGTAATCACCACTGATATTGATCAGTTTAGAGCTCAGTAGAAATTATGTGTTGATCCTTTTGCTTTCTGATCAATAATAATCAATAATTAATCCTCAATTGTTTGTTTATAACTAACCTGACACACTGATTAGATAAACTAAGTGTTATATTGGGATTTAATTGATAGTAAATTGATACACTGATTGGCAGATGAATTGATGAGAGTGATTACTGACATCTGATTGATAATAAACTGATATGCTGATTTTAAGACTAATCAATAAATGATATTACTGAGATTTAACTGTTAATGAATCAAAATATTGTATGAGAGATTATTGACATTTAATGTATTGACACTGATTAACAGACTAATCAATATATCGATTATTGTCTTTCATTGATAGTAAACTGACACATTGATTGGCAAACTAATCAATAATTGGTATTATTGATCTTTCATTCATTTTAAACTGACATATTGATTAGCAGATAAATCAGTAACAGTGATTAATGATGTTTAACCAATGACAAACTGATAGTGAACTGATTTATTGATAAGCAGACTAATCAATAAGTGTTACTGCTGAGATTTTATTGATCTCATATTGACATTGCGATTAAGACACTCATCAATAAGTGTCATTATTGATGATTATTACTGATCAGTGGTTATTATTGACCTGATTATTGATCTTCAGTTCATCCTCAGTCTAACAAACAGTCGGAGCTGTTGATCACCAGTTATTGATCTCTTACCGGCAGCTTGTTGATCAGCTGTTTGGTCCGGCTCCACAGCTCTCGAATCAGCTCGGCGGGGATCTCCTGTCGGCAGGTGAGCCCTCGCTCAGGCGTCGCCGTGGCAACGTGCCCCTCTGCGATGAGGCTGACGAGCAGAGTGAGAGCAGATGTCCTGACGAGGAGGAGAAACATCTTTAACTGCAGTAGGTGCACTCCTCTCTGCCACATTTATACATCCTCCTCCTCCTCTTCTTCTCTTTCATCTCCTCCTCCCCCCTTCCTCACCCCTCCCCCTCTTTTCTTCGTCTCCTTCCTCCTCTCCTGTTTCAGAAATTTCCTAAAATCACTGACTCACTGCTGCGACTTTCCAAGGAGTCCCCCTGCTGATGTCACCTCCCTTTTCCTTCCCTTTCTCCTCCTCTCTTCCTTTTTTAAATTTCTCCTCCTCTTTTCTCCTCCTGTTGGCTCTCCTCCTTCCCCTCTTGTTTTCTCCTTTCTGTATTTTCTCCTCCTTTCTCCTCTCATCTGTTTCTCTCTTCTTTAATTTTACTTCTCTTTTCTCCTTCTGTCCCTCCTTCTCCTCATTTCCTTTCTTGTTCTTCTCTCTGTGCTTTCAGCTCCTCCTTTCCCCTTCTTCCTCACTTAATTCCTCCTCTCCTCTCATGTTGTCTTTCCTCCTTTCTTTTATTTTCTCCTCTTTTTCTGCATCCCTCCTTTTTTCTCTCTTTGTATGTTCCCCTCCTTTCTCCTCTCCTCTTCTTCTCTTTTCTTTAATTCACCTTCATCTATTTTCTCCTTCTCTTTCTGTCTCTCCTCTTCTCTCCATCCCTCCTTCTCCTCTCTCATTGTCTTTATTTTCTCCTCCTTCCTGGTGTTTCCTCCTTTCTTCTCGTGTCGTCTCTCCTCCTTTTTTCCTCTGCTCCTTTCCTGCCTCCACCCTACTTTTTCTCTTTCTGGATTTTCTCCTCCTTTCTCCTCTCTTCTTCTCCTTTCTGTTCTTTTCCTCCATCTAGTTTCTCCTCCCCTTCTTGTTCTCCTATATTTTCCTCTCTCGTTTTACTCTATTTTTACCTCCTTTCTCCTCTCTTTCTCCTTTTCCTTAAGTTTCTCCTGTTGTCTTCATTCCCAGCATCCCTCCTTCTTCCTCTCCTCTTCTTCTCCTCCTGGCCTCCTTTCTTTTTTTCATCCCATCTTAGTTTCTCCTCCTTTTGTCCCATGTTTTCTCTCCTTTATTTTTCCTCTCCAGCTCCTTTCTTTCTTTCTTCCTTTTATCTTTTCCGCTCTCTTTCTTCCTCGTCTCTTTTCTCCGCTCCTCTTTCCTCACCTCCTTCCTCCTACTTTCCTTTCTTTTAATATGTTTTTTTTCCTACTTTTCATCTCCTCCTCTTCTTTCTTTCTCCTGTTGGTTCTCCTCTTTTGTTTCTTTCTTTCATTTTATCTTTCTCTCCTTTATCCAGGAAACAAAGAGAGGAGGAGTCATTTTCATCGTCTCTACCATTGTCCTTTGTACTCCTCCTTTTCTCTTTCTCCTTTCCTCCTCCTTTTTCTTTTTTCTCCCATCTTTTCTCCCTCTCTTCTCTTTTTCTTTATTTCCTCCTCCTTCCTTTCCTGTTTGTTTTCCTCTCCTTCCTTGCCTCCTTCTTCTACTTCCTTCCCTTTTTCTTCTTCCTCTCTCCTCCTCCTCCTCCCCTGGCTTTCCTTTTTTTTCTCCTCTTCCTCACCTCCTCTCCCGTTCTCCTCTGTCCTCCTCCGTCTCCTCACCCCGGTGGCGATGGTGTCACCTCACCCTGGTTTTGGTGTTTAGATGTGCAGTCAGATAAAACTAGGTTGTGGCTTTGGTTCGACGCAGTCGAGGAAACGGTGACTCGGCACATTTCCCACCCTGGCAGGTTTCAGAAAGTGCCGAGACGTTCGTCATCCAACCCAGATTTAAGGCGATGTCAGCACGCCGGCACCATAGAAGAAGAAGAGGACGACGAATGTCTGCAGCTGCTTCTGAGTCAAACAAGAATAGAACAAGTGATGATGATGATGATGATGGTGTGTGTGTGTGTGTGTGTGTGTGTGTGTGTGTGTGTGTGTGTTGTAGGCCTCCTTCCTGGAAGTCAAAACAGTAACCAGGTCAATCAGCCGCACTGATTATACACCGTCTGTCTGTCTGTCTGTCTGTCTGTCTGTGTACAAGTGCACATTTCACAAGAGCAATTTTTGTCACATCATTTTGTGGTTGATTGACAGGTAGTCCGCCTGCACAATGCATGCTGGGAAAAGCTCCAGCACCCTCTTAACAGTCACAGTGTCGTACTGTAACAGCAACACGCTTGTTTTAGTCACAAGAGTATTTTGTTTAAGGCTGGGAGAGATGGTGCTGCACATAAAGCTGGGGTAGGCAGGTTTTATGTTGCCGCCATTGGGCAAAAATCTCATAATAAACTTTGAGCATTTTGTTAAATCAAAGTTTTGCGAGAGAAAACTAGACTTCTTCTGTTCACGTTGTTGTAGATGAGCCGGATTCAAAGGTTGAGAATCCTGCAGAGAAAGTTGCTATTCCAACATCGGCAACAACTGGCAACACTGCAGAGCAACCCCCAAAAAACAGAAGACAGATCAAACAGAGTCTGAAAGAGAGTCTGTAGAAGTGTTTCGGAGACGGAGAGAAAATGTTGCTAATAGTTTAGCCTTTTAATAACTGGAACTAAAGGCTTCAAATTATGTTTATGTAGCTAACGTTAGCTTGAGCCTCAAATAAAAATGTGTCCTCCGCCTCACTCCCCGCCACTACAGACCACTTCACTGGGAGGAGACCAGGCAGCGGCTACCCAAATCCAGCCAACACAAACCCCAGCTCTGGTGGACAGGAACAACTCCCCACTGCATCAGAAAACTTTCTGTTGCTGCCGTTACGCAGGTCCGACTTGAAGCTGCTGCTGGACACCAGCTCGCTGTGACACCCTGCACTGGGGGGGTTGAGCTGGCCAAATTAGAGCCTCTGACTAAAGGACCATCACTGGAGCTGCTGCCCGCTCTCCTCCTGGCGAGGTGGTCTGTAGCGGCGGGGAGCGAGGCGGAGGGGAGCAAGGCGGAGGGGAGCAAGGCGGAGGGAGCGTGGGGTGGCTAGCTGCTAATTCTGGTCTCATTTGTGAGATACACAGATTGTGAGAGGGGCTGAGACAAGGAGCTGTGTGCAACTCTACAGTGAAATAGGATGAAATAAATCAGTGTATGGGAAACTGTCGCAGTCGTCTGGTGGGAGGGGCTTCTGACAGAGAGCTGCAGGAGGAGGGTGTGTTTTCCAATTTTCGATTTCTGCCATCCCACAGCTTTCAGTTACATTTTTAATGGAGGAGTAGAGTGTTTCTACACTGTAAGAGATCTGAGTAGTTTTACTTTCTGTTCTTGTAGCGTCAGTTTGTTGTTGGAGCAGCTGACAGAAAGACGTTCAAGCTGTAAAAGTGTAACTGTATTTTTAATTCTACTATTGTGACTGTACTTTATTAAAGTAAAAAATCAGATTACACCTCATCTATACTGAGACAAAACATTGTTTGGTTAAAGGAAAATCATCTAAATTATGATTTCCAGTATGTTATTTTATGGTCTAGGAAAGTTTAAGTTGTAAACATGAGCTCATATCTGTCAAATCCAGAAACCGGAGGAGTGAGTGTCAGTGTTGTGATGTCATAGAGTGTATAATCTGGATCTGCTCCACAGACGATCAATGAGAGCCTGATTTTGTTTTCTTTATTCTCGTGTAGTGTCCTCAGTTGTGAAACAGAAAATGTTCCTGTATACTCAGAACATTCCTCCAGCTGCTCTCAGTGTCATCTGGAATATCCTTCACCAGTCACTGTCTGTGGAGCAGCTCCAGACTTTATACTTTATGACGTCACAAATTTGAGTTTAATCACACTAGATTTTGGATTTGGGAGGGAGTTGTTCTTGTTGACTAATATTTCTGGACTGTTTTAGACAAAGGAATAATGGCCATAGTTCCTCTTTAAATGTGATGATGTAAAAGAGTCACTGTCGACTTTGACGATATTTAACCAGGACCTCCATTTCTCCTTGAGGCCCCAACCTGTAACCACAACAAAGTGCTGCCGAGCTTCGACCATATCTGAACCGTACTATCTGCCATAACTGTGGTGAGTCTGTAGTTGTAGGTGCTCATTATACATGATGTATTTCTTCTATTTTCTCTATATTGTGGCATAATCGACATACCAGCCACTTTATTAGGGACACCTTGCTGGTAACAGGTGGGATCCCCTTTTTAATTCTTGGTGTCACAGATTCAACAAGGTGCTGGAAACATTCCTCAGAGATTTTGGTCCATATTGACATGATGACATCACACAGTTGATCCATGATGAGAATCTCCCGTTCCAGCACATCCCAAAATATTTCTGGCTCTGATAACCTGTGTTACCCTGAAGCTGTTGTTCGTGCTGATGAGTTGTTTGACAGAAAACTTTGCAAAGAGGCCGACACTCTCCAGATGATGATGATGACCCTGATGAAGTCACAAGGGGAAACCTGTTGGTCTAAAAATAAAGCTGTTTTGCAGACTTCAAGTGTTTCTGGAGTTTCACCTCTTCAGGCTTTTTTCCTTCTGCGTACACTTTTTTTGAGTGCTCAGGTTTCAGCTCCTCTGATCTCAGATTTACTGGGTTCTTTTTGTCATTTTAAATTAAATATCTTTGGGCTCTGGACGGCTGGTTGGAAGAAACAGGACATTTGAAAGCATCACATTTGGCTCTGGGAAACTGTGATGGGCATTAAACTAGATTAAATTATCAATATAATTGATTTAACAGTTTATGAAAACACTATTTGTTGCAGCTGTTTTATTTATCTCCTTGTGTCTGATCACATCTAATTGTCTCTGCAGTGATGACGTCATCGGCCGTGTTAACACGTTTATTTTGGTAAGCAGCTTTTAGACGTGTGGTCAGATAAAAGTAGGTTGCGGCTTTGTCGACTTCGGCGGGAAACGGTGACAGTGCAGGTCTGTTTGCTCCACGCAGCAGATTTTACAGAGTGACGAGCTGCTGTTCTGACCCATATAGCAGCACGCCTTCTTTCTTCTGGTCGACAGGCAACTTGAAAACTGTCCTTGAACTCAACATGCAGGGGTCGACAGTGTGGAGTTTCCTCCAACAGCACAGAGTCATGCAGCAGGTGAATCCAAACTGCCTGCAGACATGAATGTGACATGCAGGAGATAATAGATACAGACACTGAACAGGAGCTGAGAACAAGTGAAGGGAAAAGCTGGAGAAATTCCAGGACTCAGATTTCATCACATGCCGTCATGTAGAGCCGATACACCTGCAGAGTGAGAGCACACTGCATCAGCTTTAATTTTCAGATCAGATAAAGTAAACAAACAGAAAAGTAAATACAAACATATGAAAGCTGTGTGAGGCATTATTTCAGATCCTGAAGCTAAATGCTAACAAGCCGATGCTAGCAGGTAAAATGTTTTCTGTGTTCACCACCTTAAAGGAGAAGTCCAGTATTTTGCAATTTGAGCCCCATGTCTGGTTGTTTATGATGAACTAGAGTGGTTGAGACCAAAATAGTGACAATTGCCCATTTTCGGAGAATTTGTCTTTCCCCTGCCCGGCCTTCCCAATACCGATTCCAATCCCTGAACCTTAGGTATCTGCCGATACCGAGTACCGATCCGATACCAGCGCGTAAAATAAAAATGGATGGGATATGAATTGTTGTATGTCTCAACTCCTAAAACTCTATGTAAAATATGTGCGCTTGCACAAGACCGTGAGACATGGGCACCGCCTTCATGTGTGTTCACGTGCTTTCGCTGGTCTCACATGAAGCGCGGTGCCCAGAGAGGCAGTCAGAGCTACAGGCTACAATGAGGCTAAAAACAGAGTTCAAATGAGGTTTTTCCAAACAACTTTTTATGTCGGGGCTTCAGGACACTTGGATCACTACTGACGAGCAGTATGGAGATATTTTGTGGTTTCAATGATGTGTTTTTGGACGTTTGAATCTGGGGTGCCGTCAGCCTCCATTAGGTGGAGTTGTGTTGCTACCTCCTCTCCCCTTGGATCTCTGCAAGTGATGTGAGGACTCTAAAACTTCACCTGAGCCTCCCTCGGCATGTGGGTGAGTAGATAATGGCTGAATTTTTGGGTGCACTATCCCTTTAAGCCAGGCAAGGGAAAGCCAAATTCTCAGAAAATGAGCAATCGTCACTATTCTGGTCTTAACCGCTCTATTTCATCATAAACAACCCAGAAATGGGGCTCAAAGTGCAAAATACCGGACTTCTCCTTTAATTAAGCATATTAGCATGCTAACATTCTCTCATTCAAAAAACAATACATGATCACATTATAATGCAAATTACATTTATTGGGGGAACATCATGATATTAAGTGTATTTTAAGACAACATGAGCATTAAAAAATATAAATGTTGACTGACTCAAATTTAGCTTCTTTATTGAAACTATGGAGGCCCTAAAGTCCCAAAAGTCACACACATGAGACAACATAATCAATCTCCAATTTGAATCTTTCAGGACTTTAGGGGCTTCGTACACATCATTAAACAGCTCTCTGTATCCTAGCTACATATCTCTGATTGAGAGTGATACAAGTTAAATCAGGTATAAACAAGTGCAGTAATAAAACAAAGTTTATTTTTGAAGATTAATCATTGATAATATTGACTTTTATTTACCTTGAACTGCCAGTGATGGTGATTTTGTCACTTCTCACTTCTGTTGAGTTGACGTCAGTGGTTTTTCCACAGATGTATAAAGAGACCTGGATACAGCGCTGGAGGCAGATCCCGTTCAATCCAATGAAAGTTGCTCAGTGGATCATGAGGCCCACAGAGCAGACACAGCAGAGACTTCTGAATCTGGATAAATGATTTAATCGTAAGGATCTTCCAGACTTTCAAATGTTATCGGAGTGGATCGAGTGGAATAAATGAGAGTGTGAGTCATGTGGCAGTGATTATAGATGTCTCTTTTCCAATGTAGGCTTATGGGAAAAAGTCTGTTGGGGCCCAATGGCGTCACATGACAGACTCAGGAGCCCCTCGCAATACTTTTGCATTCCCTCGCAATAAATTTTGCATTCCCTCACAATAAATTTTGCATTCCCTTGCAATACTGTTGCATTCCCTCACAATACTATTGCGTTCCCTCACAATAAATTCCGCAATACTTTTGCGTTCCCTCGCAATACTTTTGCGTTCCCTCGCAATACTATTTGTGTTCCCTCGCAATAAATTTTGCATTCCCTCACAATACTTTTGCGTTCCCTCACAATAAATTCCGCAATACTTTTGCGTTCCCTCACAATAAATTTTGCGTTCCCTTGCAATACTGTTGCATTCCCTCGCAATACTATTGCGTTCCCTCACAATAAATTCCGCAATACTATTGCGTTCCCTCGCAATACTTTTTGTGTTCCCTCGCAATAAATTTTGATTTTCCTCCCAATACTTTTTGCGTTCCCTCACAATAAATTCCACAATACTTTTTGCGTTCCCTCACAATAAATTTTGCATTCCCTCACAATAAATTCGGCAATACTTTTTGCGTTCCCTCACAATAAATTCCGCAATACTTTTTGCGTTCCCTCACAATAAATTTTGAGTTCCCTCACAATAAATTTTGAGTTCCCTCCCAATACTTTTTGCGTTCCCTCACAATAAATTCCACAATACTTTTTGCGTTCCCTCACAATAAATTTTGCGTTCCCTCACAATAAATTTTGCATTCCCTCACAATAAATTCCGCAATACTTTTTGCGTTCCCTCACAATAAATTTTGCGTTCCCTCACAATACTTTTTGCGTTCCCTCACAATAAATTTTGAGTTCCCTCACAATAAATTTTGAGTTCCCTCACAATAAATTTTGTGTTCCCTCCCAATACTTTTTGCGTTCCTTCCCAATAAATTTTGCGTTCCCTCGCACGTATTGCAAGGTAATGCAAAAGTATTGCGAGGGGACGCAAAAGTCAGTCCAAACAAAATCACCCGACTTGACCTTTAAGGGGCTCCGTACTCAACTGACATGTACTTCAGCAAAGCTTTCTAGTGTCTGGGTTTACTTCCACAGCAGTGTTTCTCCTGGCTCGGCTCATTGTCTTTACATTATGATGAAATCATGGATTTTTTAATTGCTTTTCTCAGCTTGGTAAAAGTTTTACAAATATAAAACCATCATGGCTCAAAAATTCAGAAAATAAAGAGTTATAATGGAGTTTGTTTACAGTTGGAAGTGTCCTGTCAACAGTTTTACAGACTCACAGCACTGATTGGGGATCAATTATTTAATTGTGTGGATCTTCTAGACTTTGGTGTGGATTACATCCTCATGGTGAAACCAGCCATGTGGCGACGCCCAAAGACATGATCCAGTGATTTAAAGATGTCTCTTCCAATGTAAGTCTATGTAAAAAACTTTTGGGGGCCCAATGGCATCAGGTGAGGGACTCCAGAGCGGTAATTCTGTTTGGCTTCATCATCATTATTAAGAGGAAAATATTATGCAACAGTATATTCAGTTGAATATGAAGCCATTCACCTGAGTATATAAATGCTGTTTGTTTAAATACAGTTATATCACCAAGCAAAAACACACTGTAGTAAAACTGGTCTGAATTTCCCCAGTGCCGCAATGTGAATCAAACATTCACAATAACTCAAACAAAACTGAACACACAGACATGAAACATATATTTTGATAATCAGTTTGACTCACACGTCCCGAGGACATCTTCATCTCCGACCTTCATCACGTGTCAACATCGAGAAATCCACTCAGCAAACGGAGAGAAGACACGCTCATACCGCTGCCGAACTCCACTGAGAATTATCAGGTTTTTAAGTTTTCTTCAGTATCAAAGTGATTCAGTGACATTTATCTGTACAGTCATAACTTCACTGCAAACAGCAGCTGCTAATATATAATTCGGCAAATTTTTAATGGCACCAAGTTGCCAAATATTGAACAAATATGTGCTAAAAAGAGCACAACCCACAGTCAACTTTAATGACTCGGAAGCGTTGAACTTCCTGTTAAGAAGCCGAAGCCCCAAGAATTATGGGAATTGTAGTTCCAAAGTTAAGCATGCTGATCCCCCAAATAAAAGTAAAACATGGAATAATATAGTAATATAGTAACTTAATTAATTTTAATATAAAAATGATATAAATTAGACAGACTGCATAATGAAAATATTTTTAAGCAGAATATTTATTTTAATTATCATATATTATTATTGTTATTATTAGTATTATTAGTAATTTATTTATTTTTATATGACTTTCTTTCCTCTTTATTCTCTTCACTTTATTTCTTTGAGTATATCATGTACTCCAAAACCAAGTGTATCTTTAGAAGTTCTTTATTTGGGGCGGAGTGTCCATAAATATGTCCAGCGTCCCTCAGAGGGCTCTGAGCCCCCGAGTGCAGCCCTGCAGGTGATGTCGTCATGTGATCTGTTTCCTGCTGCTGTCTGTTCAACACAAAGAGCTCAGCTAAATATAGATCCTTATCACACACACATGCACACACACAAACACAGACGCAGGCGGAAAGTTTGCTGTTGTTACTGAACTTCCTGGAGTCACCTGTGTGGGAAATCCCCTGCGGTGACATCACACAGGTAGAGCCCTGCTGACTCCGCCCCCCTGCTGAGAGGTAATGATGGGGAAGAGTTCAGATAGGTGTGCTGTTGTTCTTTTATCTCTGTGAGGACATTCTTTAACCTCAGAGGACTGTTTGAGGCTTCAGATTTAGATTTAGGGTTCAGAGAAAGGTTGAGTTACACATTTAGTTTTCACAGTCAGAGTTAGTGACAGTGGGAAAACATGATGTCATCAGGGTTCCTGTGTTTCATCAGTTAATACACGATTATTTACTCTGTGCTTTGATGAAGATCAGATGAGATGATGTGGACCTTCACTGATCCCCAGAGCAGAAACCCAAAAGTTGCAGCAGCACAAAGAGAGAAATAATTACAGATTATTATAAGTAAAAAGAAAAATACAGTCGACACATAAGCAGCACCCACAACCAGAGATTTACTTCAACTAATCCTGCAGGACTGACTCAAGTGAAGCAGCAGTGGTGCAGTTATTAGCAGTTTGATGTTTGTTGTGAGTGGTGCGTTCAGAAACACTCATTCTGAGTGTGGGAGCGCACTCTGACACAAACTGGAGCGTTGATAAATTGGGAGCGCTGTGTGAATGTAGCGTTGGGTTATCCAGAGCAGCGCACTCTCAGAGTGGCAGAGCGCACTCTGGACACTCTGTCTGTGGAGACGGAGCAGCAGAGCGCCGAGCGGAGTGAATGTGTGATTAACTTAACCGTTGGTTCATTCATGTAGAAATATAACGCTGCGTTTCTTCCACCAACAGGGCTCTCATTTTAGTGTAGAGCGTCAGACTGAATTTACCAACGCACCCTAACCTGATATGAAGTGTGCGCTGCACATGTGAGCATTTTTGATGATGGCCTCCGTCCAGTCCTTTGGTCTTATCACATTTAACCATAGTTGTCTTTGTTTTTGTTGACGGGCAGTGGCGGCTGGTTTTGAGCCATGACTCCTTCTATTCTGGCTCCCAATAACACAACAAGACATACACATTTTAACACTCCTGTGGAGCCTACAGCCCTGTGGGGGAGAGGCAGCTGCACCTCCAGCTGATAACATGATGTCATTGTGACGTTGGCCCTTAAAGGGTCCGTTAGCAGGATTTTGATGGTGATTCTGTGTTTTACTGGGAGCCAGTGAAGTGATCAGTACTGGATTAATGAGTCCAAGTTGTCTGGCTGAATGAGTCGGAGCCTACTGACTGATAGTTTGGATAATCCTGCAAACACAGCGTTACAGTCGTCCCACCTGCATGATGAGATGCAGGTGAGGAGGTGACTGACGAGACAAGTGGGAACAGGTGAGTCGTCGGCTGCAGCAGTCAGGTGATGGGGACAGGAGGGGAAGTCCGAGGGCACCTGGTGGACGGATGGGAAATGGAAATGAAGAGGCCCAAGAGATGGAGAGAAAATGTCTGTGACCACAGCTCTGTCTCGTCTTTTTAATGTGATGAATGTATGAGTCAAGAAAATGAACACAATCTCCATCTTTAAAGTTTCTTTAAGCTTCTGTATACACTCGACGCAACGTAGTTGCTGTGTGCCTATAGTTCTGCATCCTGTTGGTCTATGTCGCTGTGCAATTGGGATGTAAATAAAGTTAAGATGAGATTTGTATGTTTAATATCTGAGATTGTTGTTTATCCGATGACCCCAAAGACATGTTAGTTATCACTGCCCACTGGTCTGTATAGTTAAGCCTTGCCATAATAGCTTATCATAGGGCTTAGGAGGTTATTCACTGAGTGCTGATCCTTTTTTTTTTTTTTTAGAGCACAAACTTCTTGTGTTTATTTGAATGAATATCTATTAATAAGTTTGGGAACGTTGTTTACTGTTTCATTTTTAAATGACAGATGAACAGTGAGAAGAAGGAAGGGTTATATAAGTGTACACTTGTTTCTGCTCCTCCTTGAGCATGTTGATATTTGTTTTGTTTCATTTCTTGTTTTGCTTGAAATAAAGTCATTCATTCATTCATTCATTCATTTAAATGCATTATTTAAAAACAAAGCACTATTTATTACAGTTACAGGTGAAATGATCAGAGGAGACGCAGATGAGTTTAACACGAAACCTTTCGTGACTGACGTGCATGATCTTTCTTTCAGGGGTGAGGGAACCCCCCAGAATATACATACATTCCATATATTAATGTGTATATATACATATACTGCACACACACACACACACACACACACACACACACTGATCTGAAACCAAACCTACAGCAGTGAAAGTAGGTAAGTAGGGCTCGTCTACTTGTGGTTTCTGCAGATTTCTGCACCAGTTTGATACACAGATCTCTGTGTGTGTCTGTGAGTGTGTGTGTGTGTGTGTGTGTGTGTGTGTGTGTGTGTGTGTGTTGTTGTGTACAATCAGATAAGATTAAATCTGATCTGATAAAATCGATGGTGAAGATAAGAGATTCATGTGATATTACAGATGTTCGTGCGTCTTGTTTTGTTTTTCTTTTGATTCATTCACAAAGTTTTGACTGAAAATCTCATTTTCTCTTCAGTAACTTGTTTTTAACCAGCTGTGATCGATAGATATTAAATGTAAAATAAATATTTGCCAGCAGAGTAAACACACAAACCACCCAGCAGTACATGAAGTCATTAAAATGAGCTCCACCTTTAGAGCTGCAGCATTAGACTGATGAACACATTAATGCATCAATGATCAGGACTTTTATTTCTCTCTCCACTTACGCCACATGTCACCTCACACTCTGGGGCCGAGGCTACATACCATCACACTGATGGAGCAGTGTGGTGTTCACTTTCTTACCCAAGGATGCATCAGTGTGTTGACTGGAGGAGCTGGGGATCGAGCTACTGACCCTCTGGTTGGTGGACGACCCGCTCTGCCTCTGAGCCACAGCTGCCTCAGTGGAACTACTACATTTTTAGCTGAAGGTAAATTATGATGCAGGAATCCTCAGTTACTGACTGTAAACAGTATCGCCAGTGAAGAAAAAGCCAATCCCAGGTTTTGGAACAAATTTTATCTGCTTGGAGTTTTGTTTGCTATATTTGGAGCGGGTGTCTTGCCACATAGCTTCCTCTTTGATGCGTTCTACTTACGACAACCCGGTCGCGCTCCACTGCCGGTGTTCTGACAATTTCTGCTGCTTTGTCAAAAATTGCTACCGCTGCATAAACTGATAGGTCTGTACGCGTGCAGGTCAAGCGCTTAGCGTGGACATGTTGCCGAAGGCCTGAAAATTGACTTAGCATGAGTGCTTACTGATAATACGACACAATAGATGCAATTATCTGATAATTATATTCAAGAGCAAAGCCAATGTGCAACCTGCAAGCTAACTTGACTTCTTAAATAGGCCAAAAGCGCAAAGAAAAGGGATATTGAGACCGTTAATGATAATGCTTACCGATAATACGACACAGTACATGCAATTATTTAATATACGAAACTTGGAAAATCGGCTCTGCGCATGCACAGAACCACAAAGTAGCACTTCTCGATAGGTAGGGGAAATCGACATAACGCCGGCGCTTGGTCAGTGACTACCAGCGTCAGACACCAACGAAAGAAGTCGTCCTTTCAGGTCGGCATGATATTTTGCTTTTATTTTTAAAGAGACTGTATGCAAACTGTACATTTCCTGTGAAAACAGAAGTGTATTCTGAAAACAGACAATGCATGTAACAGGCTGAAGTTGACATGGCGAACCTTCTGAACACAGAAAATCAAAAGAAATAAGAAGAAGGAGATAAACACACCGACACACACTGAGAGGAATCACTGCTGTCTGAGTGTTTAGGAAACTCCTGCAGAATATCTTTAAATAAAATATCAGCGTACTTCTGTCACCTCTGCTCAGAGCACATGCACACGTCGAGAGACAGTTTCCTTATTTAATGACCTTTAAAGGCCAACACACGCACACACGCACACACATACACACACACACACACACACAGGCAACATATGAGTCACTAAACACCTACACTCTTTCTTCTGTTTGTTTGTTGGCAGCATCGTATTCACCACTGTCCTACTTCCTGATGCCAACGCTGTGCCACCTGTCCGCTGACTGTGACAGTCTGAGGGGAAATCATCAGCACACACAGTCTGAGGGAGATTTATAAACCTGA